GGATGCACGAGCAGCGATGGCAATATACCGGTTGCACAAACGGGCATGGGACGCATCGTTACCCGCGTCACGCGTCAAGCGAGCCAAGACCACATCGGGCAACAAGGCCGAATCTGGGAACCCTACAACGAGAGGAGACGCAGATCAAACGCGAGAAGGAAAGGCGAAACGTAAACACCGGAATAGCGCTGAGTCTCCAGGCGGGGGCAGGAAGGGTGTTAGTTCCGGCCTTGGGGTGATAACCAAAACCCGGTCGGGCAAGGTGGCAAAGGCGAGTCAGGGCGAGCGTAGCGCCGACCAAGCAGGCCCCAAGTGGTGGGAGACCCTTGGCGGAGACAAGTCCAAGGGCAAGCTAACGCTTTAAGCGAAATAGTGTGTATCGCACAGCCTCGTTGTCATCTCCAGAGTAATAATCTTGCATGTCAGCGTGTGCCTTGAACTTCTGGCTCCATGCGGAAGCCCAGAACTTGATGGACTTCCGATGGGGGATGATGAGCGCCACGAGCTCACTCAGGATATAATTTGTGGTGCATTTAACCAGATGAAGGGATCCCCGAGTAGCCCCCGTCGATTCCCCTATGGACGCGCCGATCATTGTCGAGGCGTTTGTCCCGCCCAAACGAAAGCCCTCTGGGCCCCGGCCGGTACCCACGCTCACTCCGAGTCGAAATACTTCCTATTCAAGCACATACAGGCCTACCATTGTCGAGAGTCCATTACACCCACAAGAGGACCTCGCTTCACCTCCATCCTCAGTATTCGACCCAACTAAACTAGGCTATCCACACGGGGCTAAGCAGGGTGGAACGCCTGGGGCAAGCGACGACGTGAGTCGAAAATTGGGGTAATTTTTCATTTCGTAAAGCTGATTTCATTACGTCTAGTCCCTTCCCCTGCTCACGCCACGATCCCCACCAACACCCAAACGACGAACATCGGTTGCGACACAATTACCGACTGTTCCTATTACGCATGTCAATGTTCCAGATATCCCGTGGACAGTCAGCCCGGGGGGATTCATGTCCCGCTTCGAACCGGTCCCTGTATGGCCACTACTCGTGCACACCGCGCTCTGGTCAGTTCACACTATGCTTCATTCGGACCGGCTAACTCGATAACAGCTGTGCAGCGTTTCCGGTGGTCTATTGGCTATGCACCGCAGCATCAGGACTTGGGTTATTCTGGGCTCGGGCAATAGTTGGCGCCGTCACCGGAATAGTCGGGTTCACAATCGGGTACAACTTGATCAGGTTGTCCAGGAGAGGGATAGATGCAACCGGTGAGTCCTCCTGAAACTTGACCGGCCATGGCCACCTCCCCGTGCCTGATT